TTTGTTCTTTGGAGCGTGGTTTAAAGTTCAGGGGCGGGCGGGAGGGAACGGTGACGTCGAGAGGGCCGGCCGCCCGGGGTGGCCGTCCCTCCAGGCAAGGGGGGCGGGGAGGACGGCCCGGGGTTTTCGATAGGTGGTTCCCCCTCTTGCCGATTTCGCACATGCAAATCTCCGCCCCCGCGCGGGCGCGCGCAGGAGCGCGGGCGGCCCGGTACGCCCTCGAGGGGAAGTGCGGCAGCTGCTGTCGCCTGGGTTCGCTTGTAACCCCCGCAGTCTGATTTTTAATACTTGTTTATATCTAAATTGTGAGGGCTCTGTTAACTTTACGTATTTTACTTACTAATCCCTTTTAAACTCGAAAGGTTCGCACTACGAGTTCGTTGTTACGCAGTGTTCTCAAGTTTAGTGAAATGGACGCTGTATACTGAGATTTGACAGAGATACCCACGAGGAGAGGGGGAATGGAACGAACGTTCAGTGTGTTCAAGGATCTAGTATATCTTCGTTTTCTTCATTGGCTAAGCGCCTGTTAAGTGTCAGGTAGCTTATTTATTTCATCTATGACGAATTATTCTCATTTTATAGAGGAGGTAATCAGGGTTCAAAGAAGTTAAGTAACTTGTCCATACTTCAGAATGCTGGTAAAAAGGATAAGCACAGTTTAAACCCAGGGTTGTCTGACTCCAAAACTCCATGCTCTTTCCCCTGTCCTTTACTGCCTAAAGTAAGTGTGGAGGGGACATGGGGAATACCATCCTGCCATACGAGTGCCCGAAACCGGAGGAACTAGTTAGGGAAATAATTCAAAATAAAATATCCTGCCAACCCCAAAATATCCCCTCCACAAAATGTACAATCTGCAAAAGAATGGAACCGTTTTATTATTCGATATGCTTTAAAGCATACTGTGATGCACATTACAGGCAATCCACTTAAAGAGATCGGAAACACAAGAAATCTCACCCTTTCATATAGCCAGGCACATATACTTTATTACATATCTATTGATTGTCTTTATCCAAAGGAAAAATAATAGGTTACATCTTGGAGCCAAGAACCAAGGCTTAACCTTCCACAGACACAGGTAGATGGGGCACCTTACTCCTTGATGTTCACGTTTCAAAAAGATGGCTCTAAGGCCCCGAAGACAGACCTTCTTAGGATGCAAAACTGGCAAGAGGTTTATTTACCTTTTTAAAAGATGAACATACATTTCAAAGAGACAAAGCATTTACAATTTAAGTTTTTCTAAAGGAATTGCTAAATGAAAAGGGAAGGGGTGATGTTCTTTGTCCTTTTTGGCACCAGGGAAATTTTAATTTTTTTTAGATTTGTATTTACCCTTACGGTCCCAAATGTCAGAGCTATAAGGGCAAACTGAGCACACATATTTAAGAATCCATTAAAAGGGTGAGGGACAAATAGGAATAGGAACTGTTTTGCATGTGTTTGTTTATATTCTGTCTGCAGGGATGGATTGTTTTCAGGTGCTTCTTGAATTTAATAAGGGATAATGTTTGTTACTGAGGAGCTCTGGGCCAAACGGAAGCTGTCCCAGTTGCAGGACCCCAGACTAGTAGTCTTAAAAACCACTCCAACCTATGGAATCACAGGCTGCATCTTGTGAGATTTAGTACAACTACAGAATTTTGAACTAATTAGCTTTATCTTTTATTTTTTAAAGACTCACTTACTTAAATTTCCCCACTAATAAGTTTATATTTATTTCCAGGGCCACTTTTATTTGTCACATGACTAACCTGTGTATTTTTTATATCACTTTTTAAAAGTTTTTTTCTGTAAACTTTTTACTATTTTTTAAAAATTAGTTGAACCTTTTCTCAAAGTTTCAATCCAGTCCTGAAGAGCAAAAATATTTTACTTGTGCAGGACAAACTTATTTAGGGGAAAAAAAAAGGAAAATCAAAAGACAATGTGATGGATGGACTAAATAACATAACAAAACAAAACAAAAACAGCAAGCATAAGTAGTGATTCTGATTTTTTTTTTTTAGGATTCGTGCTGGAAAAAAATTTTATTACTCTACAGCTGATAGGCAGCTAGTTGTTGGGGATTATAGAGAAGAATAGCACATGGTATTTTTCATCAGGGGTTTATAGTCTTGATACTAGTCATTCAGTTCAAGAAATATCTTTTCTGTATCAGGTGCTCTTCTAGGTAGTGGCACACACAGTACTAAATAACACAAAACTCTCTGTCTTCATGTAGCTGTGTCCTACATGAAAGACATAAAGCAGTTAGCAAATAAGATCATTTTAAATACTATTATTAAAATATTTTTTTATATTGTTGCTGTAAAGAAAATAGCAGTGGGTAGAAAGTGACTGAGGGAAAGAGATGCTCTGATGAAGTAACATTTGAGCTGAGTCCTAGTGATGAAAAAGAGGTATCCACAGGAAGATTCAGGGAAGGAACATTCCATTTGAAGGAAGAGCAAGCACTAAGTCCTTGAGATAGGAAAGTGCTTATTTGAGTGACTGAAAGGAGGCCAGTAGGACTAGAATAAACTGAATGAGGTTGAAGAAACAAGTAGGGACTAGATCTTGTAGGACCTTGTAGGCCATGGAACAGAAGATGAATTTTATTTTAGTCGCACATGAAAACTATTGGACAGTTCTAAGCACATAATTGATTTATGTTACATTTTGAGATGTTTAGTCTGGCTGCTGTGATAAACTGTTAGTATACACTAGGGGCGAGAGTAAAGGCAGAGCAGTTAGGAGGCTGTTGGCAGTAGTCTATGTGAGAAGTAAAGGTGGTTTAATAATATTTTAGCAGAGGAGATGGTGAAAAGAGGTCAGATTTAGTGAGATATTTTGGTGACAGAGTCAGAAGGACATGCTGATGGATTGGATGCAGGTGAGAGGAAAAAAAAATTGGGGATAACTCCCACAGTTTTGCCCTGAGCAACTGGGTAATGAGGAAGTCTGGTGCTGTGGATTGATTGAATTGTGTCTTCAAAGTTCATATATTAAAAGCTTAATTCCCACTGTACTTTTGAGGGTGGGGAATCCTATTATGGTAATTGAAAGGTGGGGCCTTAAAGAGGTGATTAGATTATAGGACCATGTCTTAGTGAATGGATTAAAAATGGTGGTCATGGGCATGGTTCTGAGGGCTTTAAAAGAAGAGCACATGAGAGGTTAGTCTCTCTCTGCCCTGCCATTTTGCAGTGTGAGAACCCTGCATCACTGTTGCCACCAACAAGGCCCTCACCATAAGTGTTCCCTGGACTTTGGACTTCCCACCCTCTGAAACTGTAAGCAGTGAATTTCATTTTCTTACAAATTACCCAGTTCCGTGTGTTTTGTTATGAGTAACAGAAGCAGACTAATACAGCTGGGTAATGAGAAAGAGGTTTGAGAGGGAAAACCAGGAGTTGTGTTTTAGACATGTTAAATTCTAGATGCCTGTTAGACATTCCAGTAGACAGTTGGATTTATAGAACTAAAGCTAAGGGGAGAGGTCAGGACTAGAAATAAAAATTTGGGAGCCAGCAGCATTTCATTTAAAATAATACCACCTAAAGAAAGAGTGCAGATACAGGGGAGAAAAAAGAGCCCTAGGATCCCCCAAGACTTAGAGAACTGGTAGAGAAGAAAGAGCTGCCAGCGAAATATGAGGAAAACCAAGAGAGTGTGGTGTCCCAGAGAGTGTTTCAAAAAGAATGGAATGGTCAGCTATGTTAAATGATGCTAAGAAGCTGGAAAACGATGAGAATAAAGAAATGACCTTGAATTTGGCAAGGTAGAGGTCATTAGTGACCTTGATAAGAACATGTCAGTAGAGTGGTGGGGATGAAAGCTGAATTGCAGCAGGTTGAGAAGAGACTCATGGAAACAATGAGTATAAACAACTCTTTGAAGAGTGTTAAAGGAAACAGAGAAATGGGGCAGTAGCTGGAGGAGGATGTGGATTTTTGTTAGGCTAAGGTCGATCACTAACAACCTCATTCTCAACAGGTCAACACAAAGTTCATCATTTAAGTCAGAGTCCAGTGTGAGTTGGATGGCTTTCCTCCAGTAGTGACCCAGAGACCCAGGTGCCTTCCATATTGTAGCACCAGTATGTGG